CAGGCTCATGGATTGACCACTTTTACGGATGTTCCGGATTTTTCGAGGACCGTTCCGTTGTCTCCAGGATCCATATATAGGAAACATGACTGTATTATGGCTAATTGTGAACATTTGTGCCCATTAATCTAAATTACAGATCTTGCGCCACTTGCAAAACCCTACAAACACACCTTTCAAGAAAACGTGTAACAACTCTTTTCGCTTTTTAAAAAAGTAGACGACTCTATTTTCAATCTTTTTACAATCAAAATCATCTACAAACCCTAGGAATTATAAAGGTAACACAATTTTTGAAATTCACTAAGAAATGGCTGCCATTGCAAACTTGCCGTTACACGTTTGTCGGAGGCATCGTATTCGGAGTGTTAATTCGTGTAGTCGTGGCCGAGGCTGGAAACCTCGGTCCAGTCACAACAATGTAAAATTAGGTGTTCTCAAACCGAAACATCAGCTAGTCAACGAAGAGAACGATTGATTGAATTGATTTTCACGTTTCTTTCAACGGATTCTTATGTCAAAAGGCCCGCTTACATGTGTTGGTTTCAGGGAACCGAAATTTACGTGACTTTTTAGTAGTGTGTGTGTCAAGCAGGAACCCAAAGCGGTACATTGCCAGTTGGTATGCCGATGTTGCATAGTTATTCAGTAGATCGATGAAATCACAAACGAAGTGACAGACGACTAACTGGCGAAGAAATCAATTAAAATAATGTGGTTCGCTGTAATAGAATTTTCTTAAAAGCTTAAAAGCCATCATCCAACAGATGGGCTAGTATTTTTGTTTTGATTTGAACAAAGTTGATTTTGTGTGCATTGATCTTTGACAGTGTGTAAATAGTGTATAAATTTGTCATTTTTTATGCATTTCAGTTTTGAGTAGAGTGAAAGAGATAGAACCAAAACATTCTAGTACGTTTAGTGTTGCCATGTGGTACAATCCAGTAGTAGTGTTGCCATGCGGAACACTGAAAAATTGTAATAAGGCTGTCCACGAGACACGGTACTGCAGTGCAGTGTAACTGAACAAATGAACTCAGTGTTAATCGGCTGAACCTTTTTGACAGTTCAGTGGTACTGTTTACATGCACTTTGTCGTTTTTTCGAAAAAAAAAATGTTTTCAAATTTCCGAATTTTAACTTGAAAATTATCGAGGAAATGCGCGGTGAAAGCATAGCGATAAATCTAAGACTAAAAGGTCCGAAAGAAACGTGCTTAACTTTTTGGCTCAGCTCTTATTCGATCCCAAGCAAATCGATGCACCCATGCATGTCAAACTTTCATAGCGAATCAAAACAAACATAGTGTAGTACTAGAATTTTGACTAAAATGGTGGTACGTTAATCGATTTGCTTGGGACCAAAAGACTAATCAAGTAGTGAACCAATTTAAAATCTTTAGTTTCCACCGGTTGGTATTACCAAGCCTGAGGCGGCGGGTGCGATTCCCGGATCGGTCGAGGGAATCTTTCGGGTTGGAAATTTTCTCGACTTCCCTGGGCATAGAGTATCATTATACATGCCACACAATATATAAATTCATGCATTGTTATTGGCATTGGCATTGGAAAGCTCTCAATTAATAACTGAGGAAGTGTATTTAGAACACTAAGTTGAGAGCACGCAATAAGCTAATATGTACTAAGCAATAAGCTTGAAATGCGAATAAGAAGAAGAAGATGTATCGCAGCGTCAGATTTATGCTATTTTTCTTCCAAATGGGTGAAATTTTACTCATTACATGAATACACATACAGTACATGAAAGTACTCATTTTTCAAGTTAGCGGGAAGAGAGTTGCCCTACCCCCTACCACCCTGTAAATTCAAACCTGAAGCTGATATTCGAGCAAAGTTTTTTGATTCAAATAGGCTCTTTTCATGCACCATCTATATAGAGTGCGGTAGCCGATTTTGAGAGGAAATGTCATCCAATCCATTTATTTACATCATAATGATGATTTTCAAAACTCAAAATAATGTACATTTTATGGCACAACTTGCAAATTTCCATCGGGAGTGGTATTATTTTTCAATTATGTACCGATCAGAACTGATTTACCCCTTAACTGACCCGATACAGAAAACAAAATATTCCGTGTGGATGATGATTTCAAGCACTTGTGGTGGAAAAAATAATCAGTAATGGTGAAAATATTGCCATCTTCCTATGCTTCACACTCAAAAAAAAATGACACGTTCCATTCATGTGTTTTGGAATATGAAGACCGTTCATTACTTGTCACCATAGAATCATGTGCTTTTCACACGGAGTCCAGAGATTTACACACACAAATAATATGTTTTTGTTGCTTATGAAATCAATACTACCACACATTGATTTCATGTGTTAACTTATCGAAATCAAAGAGATCCCCATATAATTATGCGCTACTGTTTCCTACTAGTGTATTTAACGTGTATGACACATGAATTGCAATGGATCTCACTATAAGGATGAGAAGAGTACTTAAAGTGTCAAAACAAACATGGAAGGCAACAGAAAACATGTTAGTGGAGTTAGGTTTTCCTAACAAAATCCTCGAAATTATTAACCGTGAGTATGTGAGTATTCTTTGTAGGAAATTATATGTTTATATAAAGGGATCACTATACACACTTAGAAATAACTAATTTTACACGTGACGGAATCCGTCTTTGACATAAAAGTAGAGACGTAAACAAACATGTCATGTAATGTTTAGTGCTCCGAGACTGAAAAGTTTGTTGCTCGACGAAAAGTAAGTTTGATTGAGCTATATTTCAAGTCTGCTATGGCTCAAATTTATGTCAAAATTGACGCTCGTATGTCACTCTCAGAGCACCTAAATTTATATGATTTTAATTCTAGAACGAAAATGAATTCTTTTGGACATCCGATTCTACTACCAACATAGAGTTACCTCTATGCTACTACTACGTATACAGGAAAAAGTACAACTTTATTCACGAAGACAGCTATATTTGATTTGATAGGTTAAGCTATCTACTGTACACACAATATGAAAATATAAATCAATACATCTAAAATGAAATATATCGTGTTTATCATTTTTACATACTGAAACCCGTTCAATAATTATCTTTTGAGGGGACCGTAGTAATGTATTAAGTTTCAAAGGTATCGGATAACATTATTCTGTTTGTACGGTACTAATGTAATGCAGTATGCAAGACTACGATTTGCTTAAATTAAATTCCGTTATCTTTTTCACAGCAACAAATCAAATCTAAAACCAATAGTTATACTATAAGATTGCTACAAGGTCTTTCATGAAATTCATGTGCATCACGCTTAAATTAAGCATGTCTGGTACAACATATTTATATGCAAAACATTTCATGATTAGAAATCAAGCACATGACGTTGACATTTAAATCAAATGAAATTCATGTGTGCTGTAAGTGAATGAAGCATGGGTAAGGTATGACTAATTTCATAAGTTATACATTTGAAATTAATGTGTTTGCCACATTGCGCCAATTCAAATGTGAAACACATGAACGGCACGTGTAGATTTTGGCCGCTAATAGATTAAAGGCTCAATCTCGAATTCTCCATTTATTTTATTAAAATATTACTAACCAGGAATGAGGGGGAAACAGTCTACTTGTCTCAGATGTTACTATACAGACATTTGAAGTCTATTGATTGATCATGTAGTTTTTTAATTATATTAACAAAATCAATGTTTCAATAAACAATTGATGTTGCGTGTCTCGTTTTTTTTTAAATAATAATCAGTATATAACACTCTAAAAAATCTTCAAGTCCGATTTACGTGAAATATCACGTAACTGATCTGTATTTAGAAAATCGCAAATATTGCGTGACGATAGTAATTTTGACCTGCATTACACGTCATGTTCACTAAAAATGTTGGTGAAATCGATTTACGTAAACAGATTTAGATTTACTTGATTTTCAGGCATGTAAAACCAAAATCAATATGGCGTCACCGAGCGTAATGGAAGAACTCCGCAAAGATTTAAAATTTTCCTGCAAATTGCTACAAATATTGGAGGGTAATTTAATTCTATTGCATTAGTTTATTTATGATTTTATGAAGGTAACTGTGCTTTTTAATATTTTTTTATAATTTCAGAAGGTGGCATCGGTATTTTAAATCTGCCAACAGTCGTTAATATTTTTCAGAAATAAAAGACTCACAAACATTCCTAAAAATTCCATAATATTGACTGCTTCTATATATACGTTCCACCTATGTTTTTCCGTAAATTTTTCGTGAATATTTTTCAGAGTGTAGTAGTATTAGTATTCTCGGTCGCTATTCGGCCGTTTATAGGGATAGTAGGGTTAATGTCCCTGATGTCGGCCTTAGTGTCCCTAATATTGGGCTCAAACCTAAATTTCGAAGACAAACAGATTTGCCAATTTTTCACTAGTAACCAAAAGCATTGTCCATATGACGCATTGGTCTAAGAAAAATTGAAGAACAGGAGATTTTGACCGATGGACCAACATTAGGAACCATTTCCCCTACATCTCGTCAACTGGGTGATTTTTAGAATCATATTAATTAGTTCCTCGTACACTGTCTGTTACTGAAATCGTTAGATTATCACTACAAATTGATTAACCTATTAGTGTAGTCATCTTTCAATTACGGTAAAGTATTAATCGTTGAATAAGCAATCAAATTGGCACTAATAATACAAAATTTGTACCTATATTACTAACGATAACACCAAATTGTTAAATAAAATAATGCTATACACACACAAACTCTTGCAATTGGCAAGTGCCTCACGAAATGTTGAATGTTATTTCACTAACAGTTAATTGTCAGGTACTCGTACACGGAATGTTGGATGTTTTGCTCGTTTAATTTGTACTTGTGAATGTTAATAAAATCAAGTTCTCCCAATCAGAGGACCGTCCTAAATCCTTATCTATGAAGCATTTTTGTAGATTCACATATACATCCGGAATTCTTTGTAATGCCATGCAACTTTCTCTCCATCCGTAACGGCACGTAGGGCACGGCTACCGACCTGGTGGTGCAAATAGTGCTGATCACCGAATCGATGCGTCTGCAAGCGATGATGGCCACCTATGGCATTCAAACCCAAACACCTCATGAGGTAAGCTTGCGTCGAATCAAATGTACCAAACCCATCATGAGGACATGAGTCGTAATTCTAGGTCGAACCCGTCCAAATCTGGTCCTCCACTCAGCTGATCAACGTGTACCAACAGCTGGGAGTAAACGATAAAATTGGTCTTACCGGGCGACCTCCGCGTCCCGTTGGTTCTCTGGGAACCAGTAAGGTACTGTATGTTGTTCCTAAGAAGCTTGTCTAGGTTCAAAGCGTTCTTGTCGCTGCAGGTTTACCGCATTTGCGGTATGACAGTGCTCTGCTATCCACTGATCTTTGAAGTGTCCGATTTCTACCTGTATCGGGACATGGCACTGCTGATCGATGACATCAAAACGGAACTTCAATTTGTCGGGAAGTATTGGCGCCTGTCGGGACGACCCACGGTCTGCTTGCTGATTCGCGAGGAACACATGCGCGATCCTCAATTCAAGGAAATGATTGACCTGCTGGCCATGCTGAAGAAGGGTTATTGCGACGGAATGAAGGTTCGCCTCGGTCGTCTCCAGAATCTCATCTCGAGTTCCTGTATTGAACATTTGGATTTCATGTCCCAATCAGATCTGCCCGATTCTACCGAGAGTGCATTTGCACAGATTCACCATGACTACATCGGGTACCAAAGCCTGACCGATGTCCCGAGGGCACAATCCTATCGGGAGAAAAAGATCATCGCCCAAGATTATCAGAACAAACCGACGCCGGACGTGATCGAAGCATTGAGGAACACGGAGTCGATCTTCTTGCAATGTCAACTGTTGGGTATAATTCTACATCGTGAAGGTGCTAACTATGAGATTGGCGGGGATACGGTTCATGCCCGTTTAACTGATTTATATTATCGGGCCGGTACTCTGCGCTACTGGCGGGCTGTCCGATATTGTAGCTCTCTATTGCGACACATCGTCGATTCTATTTCCCCCTTCATCACAACCGTATTGGTAAATGGAAAGCAAATTACGGTGGGCGTTATTGGACAACGAGAAACGGTGTTTGATAAACCGATGACCCCTTCGGAGATCCTTAACGTCATGTACTCTACGGTGCAGCCATACGATGTGATTCATGCTGTGTTGCAGCAAGAAGTGGTGCTTTACTGCGGTCGTCTAATCGCTACCAATCCTGATATTTTCAAAGGAATTCTCAAGATTCGCGTCGGTTGGGTGCTGGAGGCTATGAAGTTGTACCTTACCATGACGGGAGATGAAGATGCAGACATTGAAAATTTATCACCGTTCGCAATCCGGAAGCTGCTGCTGAGGGTTCTGACTGTTAGCCAATGGGCTTGTGACGACAGTTTCAGTGCTCTGCAGCGCCGTCAGCTGGAGGGGTGTCTCTTCCGTGTTCCACCCTCCCTGTACAACCACGTGTGGGACGTCCTGGAAAGAACGCCCCTCGGCATTACCGTTCAGGATCACAATCTTCCGGCTGGGACCACTCTGACCAACAAGAGCCGTAGCGAGTTCTCATTCGCTCTGCAGGTTGAAGAAATGCTGAATAAAATCAGCCAACCGGAAAGGCGCCAGATTGTCGTCGAGCTGTTGGTCATTGTAGCCACGATCCTGCGACGAAATCCGGAGCTGCGGTTCAATCAGATCCTGGATTTGGATCTCCTGCTGGAGGATTCATTCACCATGTACTGCAAGGACAATGACTTACCACTGACGACGAATATCTCTCCGCTGTTCTCGCTGTCGCAGAATCAGACCACCGGTTATTTGGCTCGGGCAGCGGTGAATAGCGTGCTGCAGAGGTGCGCTCTAGCCACGGAAGACTTTGCCGAGGATGTCGAAGATCACTGTCGAGTGCAGTAATTGCGGGACGGTTTAATAAATAGCAGATTGGGAAAAAAAATGGTGCTCAATGGCACTCCTCTTAAGAATAGCCGGACATAGTTTTAAAGCTGAGCTAAATATTACTGTTTCCTAACCGTTAGCTATACGATTTCAGGGCTTAGCTGCAACAGTTCGATTAGATTCCAAAGAATTTTTTTTTATACTTTTGGCCATGAATCAACATTACATTAGAGATATAATACTGCCCATAAAACCGTAACAGTCACATGTTTGCTTGATTCCCTATTTAAATGGGACTGTTATGCATTTATGGGTAGCATAGGATTTTAAAATAGAGTTTATCTTTGCTAGGTCGCGAGCTTATTGCAAAAAGATGTTTTTTATATAGTTTTGGAAATAAGTAATAAACAGGCATCAAGTATTTAACATAGGCTTATGAGCATTTTTCTTCTTCCGAATTCTATATGATGTGTTATGAAAAATGGTGAGTGAATCCTTAGATATATTGAAATTTTTAAACATTCCTGAAAACTGTTTTACGAAGCGCAACAAATTTAGCTAAGTTCTAGTGGTTCTAGAAGAAAAAAAGTAAGAGGTTGTATCCAAGACACGACCGTAGATTTGACGTAGAACTACGTGCTCGCTATCAATATTCGGCGACTGTGTTAGGGAAAGCACTTTTTGCAGGCAATCGGTGATAATTTTGATCACCATTGCAGCAGTTGGACATTTGTGTAATTTTCAATAGTGACCTATTGAAAATTGACAAAGTGTTCATTTTAGCAAGATTCGTAGAAAACTTTCCAATCGATTGGCTTGTTTAGAATTAAAATCCATCCGCTATTGACAGCGTTATAAGTGATCAAAACCTGACCACTTTTCGTAACGGGGTCGGTTTTGATTTTTTTTTTAAATTGCACCCCCAATATGTAGCCGAAAGACGTAATCATACGTCCAAATTCATTTTAAATGCTCGAATGAAGTGGTAAATTCAAGATTTTTCAAGCTTAGCTTACCTTCAGTGAAAACACAGTGTGGCTGGTATTTTGATAGTGGTAATAATCGCATTAAACTATCTATTTTACGATGGGTTAACTAAAAATTCAACTTGATTTTACGTTAGCATTCTATAATGAAAAGTAATGAAAAATACCCAAAAGAGCGATCCATCGCTATCACTGCCCACGGCAAAGTTCGATTGGTAGGAAACGCGGTTAATTTTCTTCAAATCGTTTGTAGAAGGTCGTCCTAAAACTTCAAAAAGTGACGTGAATGAGTAAAATTTTCCACAATTTTCCTCGTAAAATCTTTTTAAATGCGCTCTGCCATTGAAATCAATCCAAATTTGCGTTCAATTTACGCATAAATCGCAAAAAGTACAGGAACTCAGCGATGAGTAAATTTGCCTCATGTTTTTCCAGGAAAAAATCCCGAATTTCTCTTTGAGTTATTCTTAGTGGCCGTGCAGCATCCCTGCAGCTGAAGTTTTCGCTGTTATCAGTACTAAAGTACTCTAGCGGAATTTTATTCAACTACCGTAGTAAACAAACTGGACCCTAAAATTTGGCTGTCGTCTGCTTATCAACAGAAACACTAGTCTCGTTTTGGTGATCCCGTTAGCAAATTCCTAAAAATTACATCTTCAACCCCTCGTGAAACCAATCCAGTATGGACCCGCTCCAGTACAAAACACTCCACGAAAGTGCCATGCAGAACAACAACGGCACATCGGCGTTGAATGTGTTCCTGCATATCGTTCCGTCGTACTTCACCATTTTCCACACGGTTCAGCTCCTGTCGGCTGCATCGATTTCGTACATTCCCGGCCGGTTCATGGTGGAGTTTTTCCTCGTTGTGCTTCCCTTCCTTCTGATGGTCACCATTCTGGATCATCTGGTGGCGAACATTGCCGTGACGCTGGCTCTGGTCACCGTGGTGTCGGCGGTGCATCAGCTGAAGAACAAGACGCACTTTACACCCTTTGTGCAGATTCCCGGAAAGAGGCCGCAGTTTATGAGCTCAACCCGGGCGCTGATAAATCTGATGACTGCAGTTTGTATACTGGCGGTGGATTTTAGGATCTATCCGAGGGAGCTGGCCAAAACTGAAACGTTTGGGTTCGGACTGATGGATGTGGGCGTTGGGTTGTACGTTTTTAGCAATGGAATTGTGTATAAGGTCGATCAGGAGCGCAAGCTGGATTTGCACAGGATAAAGGACGTTGTGCTAGGGAGTTTTCCGTTGTGCATTCTAGGGGCCGCACGGTTCTTCGTGACCCAAGAAATCGACTATCAGCAGCACGTTTCGGAGTACGGGGTGCATTGGAACTTTTTCGTCACTTTGGCAATCGTTAAGATCTTCGGTACGTTGATAATGGATTTGGTGAAGGATCCGGAGATTGCCAAGTTCATTGCCATATCGGTGCTTTGCTGCCACGAGATGATGCTTCATCTGGGGGTGTCTCGATACGTTTTGAATGAGGAAATCGGACGAAGCAACTTTCTGGATGCCAATCGAGAGGGGGTGGCCTCCGTGCCTGGTTATGTAGCTTTGTACTTGGCTTCGACGTACGTGGGATCGGTTATGCGGCCGTCGGTCGAGATCCAACCGGTCAAGAAGTTTCTTCGGCAAACGATCAAACTGTGCATCACCGCCGGAGTGTGCTGGAAGATGATCTACGTTTGCGAAGACATGTTTGGGGTCTCGCGGCGGCTGGCAAATATGGGATACGTATTCTGGATTCTCTCGATCGGTGCCACGATGAGTGTTCTGTTTATGTTGCTTGAGGTGTTCGTGTACTATGTGAGATTTGAGGAACCGAAGACGCCGGATCAGATAATGAAGGGAGATGATTTCTGCATCCCATATTCGCCGCTGATACTGAATGCAATAAATGAAAACGGGTTGGCTTTCTTTTTGGGAGCCAACCTGCTGACCGGACTGGTCAATATGCTATTCCAGACGATGCTGATGGAGCCACCGGCAGCTCTGGTTATCAACTGCTACTACATCTTTATGCTTTGCGTGGTGGTCGTTTTCATGTACGTGAATAAGATCAAGTTGAAAATATGGTAAGGTTAGTGATTATACAAGTATTTCCATCTAGTCATTATCAAATTGGACTCACTCTCTATGTCTGTATTGTAAATTAAGCAACTGTGTCCTGTTTGTGTTGAAAAGTTCAAAATTGAGTGTTATAATGCTTTAAAGACAGATGTCCAACTACGCCTACGTAAAAAAGGGGTTCAATTCAATCTAGTCGTGCAAATTTTGTAATAAATTATAAAATCCAGCATAAACTCTAGAAACTTCTATTTCAGATGACATTTGCCTTCTACCTTTTCGTAAATTTAAAAGAAATATAATTCAAAAAGTTTTCTTTACCGTGCATTACGCCTAAACGTAGATAATGAACGGTAAATAGTGAATCAAACAATCCAAAGTTCATGCGTGAACATGCGCAAAGTGCAAAACACCGGGATGAACGCCACATCGTTGTTTCTCATGTGTCAAAATAAAGAACCACACGTAAAAAAAAAAAATCGGACAGCAAAGCAGTGAGAAAATACAACAAAGATCGAGTTTCAACAAATTTTCGTGCAATTTCCTTAAAAAACCTAGAAAAAGTGGATTTAATGCTATTTACTTGCCTCTAGTATCTAGCGTAATCGTACAAATTCAAGATGTCGTCACCAGAAACTAAATTAGAGGTAAGACATGCCCCCCTCTCCAAAAGACAAGGATTGTTTATGTTCCACGAAACCAATTCACTTCACAGCTCTACGATGACTACGCTTCGGCAACGGAATCGATGGAGGGTCAAATGTCCGTCCAAAATGCCACCCGGAACACTACAGATCCAGGGGCACCTAACTTCAGCACACTAGACGAACCCATCAAAGCTACATTCGTGAGTGGACATCCCCTTTTTGCGATAGATAGGTATGTGATGGAAGAGGAAAATTGATTTTTTTTTTCTTTAAAGCTCCGTGACGTAAAGGCAGTTGGCGTCAAGTTCTATCACGTTCTGATACCGCGGGAGAAGAACACACTGCTCCGGGATTGGGACCTGTGGGGTCCACTGATTCTGTGCACATTTATGGCCACCATTCTGCAGGGGTCGGCCGACGACATGTACGACGGTGGGCCGGAATTTGCACAGGTGTTTGTGATAGTGTGGATCGGTGCAATGATCGTGACGCTGAACTCCAAGCTACTGGGAGGGAATATGTAATGATACTGACCGTGAATTTCCACTCAATCGTGATGTACTGACATTTCAATTGTTTTCCCGCAGATCCTTCTTCCAATCGGTGTGCGTCCTGGGGTACTGCCTAACACCCTGTGCGGCCGCACTGCTGGTGTGTAGGATAATCTTGATAGCGGAGCAGACACATTTCCTGTTCTTCTTACGATTTCTGGTGGCTGGAGTAGGCTTTGGATGGGCCACGTACGGTAAGTGATGTTATGAATAAACCTAGAATTACTGAATCGGTATTTGCTTCGGAATCGTTCGCTTCAAAATTAAAATGGGGATGCAAAGAGACCTGCATGCCTGATCGTAACTGCACCCAGGGACGTAGTGACGGGGTGTCGAAAATAAACCATGCGAAGGGAAACAGCAGGGTGGTATGGTTGATCTTTGGTTAATAACTTTTTAGTCAGTTGACTTAAACATGGTTTAACTTTGAGCAATTGATAAAGTAGGAATAGGGTTCACTGTAGACACACATAGAGTAGTTAAATCACAAAATTTAATTTCACACCAATGAGGTTTTTCCCTTGAAAGTCTGAAAAGAACACCGATTATTTCTCTTAGTTCAGCTTAGTTTTCAAAACTTGACCCATGTGAGTAAATTTTGCTTCTATCTTTCAACAATACTGCAAAAGGACTGGCCTATGTTGGCAGTTTGAACACTGGTTGTTGTGTATTGTTTCAAGATAGTTTTGGAACAAGTGCTGTGACGTAAGTTCGTATTAACGAGCCAAAAGATACATCCGATTGAATCACTATTAAATAATTGTGAATCCCGTATGTGAACTACATATACTACAGTTACAAACGAAAATAACTAGGAAAGCATTGTCAAAAATGTATAAGTCTTAAATTTTACGCTTAGTTGTTGGGCGTCAAGGGCCTTCGGTCAGCAAAAAAGGCAGAGAATCTTCAGCGAAGCATATTCCGTGTCAAAGGGAAATCGAACATCGACGCTACTCGGTTGAACACTCGCTGCAAGCCGTAAATAGCGCTCCCTACTAGGGCTAGAATTGTTTCGAAAAAGTCGAAGTCTCAGCATAAGACTGTTGCGTAGTGATCGAGGTTGAACATTAATCTTCACTTGTTGCAGAATTGCTTCGCAGTCGATTCTTCCTTGCAGAGTATCGGCGACGGTTGAGGCTCTGAAAACATCTCTTCGGATACGTAAGGGCTCGACATTGATCAATTGGCAGCGATTCTCGTAGCTTGGAAGACGAGGTGGGTATCTCCAAGCCAGCTTATGGAGTGCGAAGCGAAGAAAACGTCATTGCACAGATTCAATTCGCTCGGCCCCATTATTGTAGTTCGGGCTCAAGACTGCAGAGCAGTATTCCTACGTAGATCGTACGAGAGAGCAATAGAGCGATTTCAAGCAGTAAATGTATGTGGAGTTCTTAGTAATCTTGAAGACAAAGCCAAGAGTTCTGGACGCTTTGTCGACGACATACAATATGTGGTGTGAGTATATCAGCTTTGAGTCTAGAAAAACGCCTAAGTCTTTCACGCAATGCACCCGTTCGATAGCCGTACCTAGTAGTTTGTCGTTGAAAATAATCGGCTGGGTTGGCCACCAGTCGGTTTAGACTACACCAGTCAGCAAAGATGTCAATCTGATTTTGGAGAGAACGGCAGTCGGCGAGTGAGCGGATGCGCAGAAAAACTTTCAGATCGTCTGCAAACGATAATCGTGGTCCTGTGATAACATGGTGAACGTCGTCGAAGTAAAGGAGAAATACCAATGGTCCCAGATGGCTACCCTCAGGTATACCGGACTTTGCGTAGACGCTTGCTGAGCGACAAGTACCCAAAGCTACTGTCAGTTGGCGCTCCGTGAGGTATGAACGAAACCATCTCAAAAGATTTCCACCGATCCCTAGCTTAGCGATCGCAATTTCGTGGTTCAGCTTATCGAAGGCTGCCGTAATATCTGTGTAGATAACGTCCGTTTGGGTCCGAGCAATCAAACTATCTGTGATGTAAGACGTTAGGCACTGCAGGTTCGTTGTTGTGGATCGCCCAGTTATTCGTGTTGATCTATACTTAGATATTGCTTGCAATGCGCATTTAGGGACTCTATGACAACCAATTCAAAAAGTTTTGCTACGGCACTCAGCGACGTGATTCCCCGGTAGTTGTTTATGTCGCATTTGCTTCACTTTTTATGAACAGGAAACATATCCGCAGTCTTCCAGCTAGACGGAAAGATGCCACTGGAAAGAGAGAGCTGCGGCGCAGTGGATCTAAAAGACACCATCGGGTCCAGCCTTAGCTGAAGTCTTAAGTTTAGATGCTGCTCTAGAAATCGTATCTGTAGTGGCTTCGACAACGCTGAGCGTTTGGTTGACCCAAGGAACATCACTGGCCGCGGATGTAATGAGATTAGCGGAGAGTTGCTCGTCTTCAAACACACTAGCAAATTTGGCTGAGAACAGGTTGCAAATGTCTTGTTGATTGCCAGCAGTTTTACCATTAAAAATCATGGAAAAAGGTAAGCCGGCTTCCCCAACAAACAATTTTAGCTGCAGCTTAGCTTATACAGGCAAAAATTAGCTGCATAAGGCAAATTTTGGCTGTATAAGCTAATCTGCAGCTAAAATTGTTTGTTGGGTTCCCTGCGTTGCTGATTTACGAAGTTCCAGAAGGATTTCGGGTGTGATTTTAGCTGCCTCAAGTTTGGCCACGGCACCAAAAATTACCACATGGCTCATCGCTGCAACGAATGTGGCAAGCAGCACGCACCTGAAGCAAGTTTTGTCCGAAGCGCGCGGAATTTATGGAAATCCGCAAAAGGGCCTCCACGTAGAACCACAGCCGGGTCTAAAAAAGGTTCAGGCACGCAATGAGCAGAATTTCCCCGCCATTAGCCAACGGCATCCGATTCCAGTTCTTTCGCCACTTGCGCTCAGCAACCATTTGGCTGCTGGCATCGGTCCCGCGTTCTGTTGAGGTGCCAAACCCTTCGGCTAATCCGAGCCGTCAGTCCTATGCGGCAACGGTTTCGTCCCCTCCCCAGGGACTATCGTAGCGTCGAGATGACGCCCCACCATCGAACGAAAACGAAGAGCTGCTCACAACAGAGGAACTCATAACCATCATGGCAGAAACAATCGTCATCAAGCGCTCCTGCAGGATCAGAACCGAGCAGATTCTTGGTGCATCACGTTTCATCGACAATTATGGACCGTGAAGCCATCAAGATCGCCAACTGGAACGCTTGCTCGCTCAAGAGCAAGAACATCAAGTTCGTTTACTTCCTCAACAAACGAAAGATCGACATTGCCGTCATCACTGAAACCCACTTGAAACCGGAGGTAAACGTCTACATTTCTGACTTCCGGCTTCTAAGACTTGATCGAACCAGCTCCGGGGGAGGAGGAGTGGCCATTGCTGTAAGAAGAAACATCTGCTGTCGGCTTCTGCCGAGCTTCTAGCTGAAAACCATCGAAGCTTTAGGGGTAGAAGTCTCCACTCCTGTCGGCCCTATCACCATCATTGCGACCCACTGCCCCAAGCAAGTCACCATTAGGGACGGGTCGGCAGCAGACCTGCGGAGGAACATCCACAAACTAACTCGACGGCGAGAAAAATACATCATGGCGGGCGACCTGAACGCCAAACACAACGCTTGGGGCAACAGTCGACGCAACCAAAACGTCACAATCCTGAGGCTCGCTACACCATATTAGCGTCGGACTCTCCCACCCGGTTGAGCCGGTCTGTCGTACACTCTACCGACATATTTATCAGCAAAATGGGAGACAACATCTCGCCACCTGTGACCCACCAGGAGCTGAGTTCGGACCACTATCCGGTGGTGGCCGAAGTAGGCTCATCCGTTAACCGATTCCAAGCTTCCCGACGCAACTACCATCGTGTCAACTGGGAGCAGTTCCAACACTGTGTCGACTCCATCGTCGACTACGGTGTCCTTCTGGAGACGCCCGAAGACGTTGACCGGTGTCTGCGTTCCATCGAGGAGATATCCCGGGCCAGAGAACAACACGTGCTAGTATCCAGACAGGTCAGCAATACTCTGAAACTTGATAGAATTACCAAAAATCTCATCAGACTCCGTAACTCCATCCGAAGGCAATACCAGCGTCCTGGTTTGCGTGCTTTTAAGACCCATTGTAATCGTCTTACAAAAACCATCCAAGCCAGGATGGTGGACCTCAGAAATCAAGATGTTGCTAACAAGATCCGCTCTCTCCCAGATTGTGCAAAGCCCTTCTGGAAACTAACGAAAATTCTTAAAAACAAGCCGAGGCCCATTCTACCACAGACCCCACTAGATCGTCCCGGCGACCCAGTGATTCATCTGATAGGTCAACACTTCGTCAGCTCCCATAATCTCGGACAAAGCATCGTTAGCCCTCATGAATCTGAGGTTGCTGAAAATGCAACCAATTTTCATCAGATTCCCAACATTTCCCCCGAGGAATCCGAGATTACGGCTGACGAACTGTTGGCCTACATCAAATCATCTAAAAACATGAAGGCCCCAGGTTTCGACAACATTCTGAATCTGGAACTCAAACACTTAAGTTCCAGCTTCTATAACCATCTGGCACTGATTTTTAATCTGTGCCTCAGACTTGGCTACTTCCCCTCGTGTTGGAAGTCAGCTAAAGGGTGTCCACGATGAAATTGCCACACTATGAAATTGCTCTTTTTAACCGTTGGGTAGAATTTAATGAAAATTTGGGTGGATTTAGTTCATAGTGCATTATTTACATCCTACAAGTTTTAAAGTCCTGTGATCAAAACTCGCGGGAATGGAGTCGAAAGAACAGCTCGTTCGTGATAAAATCTTGCGCATTCATCACGAGAACAAGGATCTCTCGCATCGTTCCATCGCTAAAACGTTGGGAATCGCGAATTCCACGGTGTCGCGAGTGATTAAGCGGTTTGAGGAACGGTTGACCACCGATCGGAAGCCCAGAAGTGAAGGAAAAAGTATTCCGTACAACACCAAAAATCACAACCGCGTAGTTGGGGCCTTCAACCGAAATCCGAACGCCTCCGTTAGGGATGTGGCTAAGAAGCTGCACCTAAGCCGAAGTTTTGTCCAGAAGGCCAAAACTAAGGCTGGGCTTCGAACGTTCAAGGTACAAAAGGCCCCTAATCGCGACGAGAAGCAGAACAAGTCCGCCAAAACCCGTGCCAGGAAGTTGTACCTCAACATGCTGACGAAAGT